ACTAAAATGAATAGTTCTATGCAATCTGAAATTTCTACTACTAATAATACACCAAACAGCTCCTCTTTAAATTGATTAATTGGATCACCTACATATTCTTCCGTAAACAAAATGTCAATCACGACACATTTCCATCAATAAAACAAGCAATTATATTCGATACAATTGAAAATATCAAACAAGAAAATTACCTGTCCGCTCTAAGTCTTCTGATATAAGCAACTCACATTATCTTCTGTTCAAGATTATAAAATAACAGAGTAGGTATATATTAGGCAAACGAAAAACTAGTATGTGGATTTTATAATAAAAATGGAAAAATTAAAATAAACCAACAACTCGTGACTGTCCCTTAATCTCACACTCAGTCCTAATATCTGCACTCAATTCACATGGATCAAATCTTCCGTCGCCTTTTAACATTGCTAAGAATAGGCATATCAACACCACAATTCCAGCATGTTTTGAGCTTCAGACGCCAAACCTACATATCTCCACTAAATAACCAAACCATATCTGATTCATTTCTTAACACACATGAGGAAACAACATACGGAATTTACCTATCACTAGATCACTAAGCTTTTCAAACATGTAAGCAAACCAACTACTTAACAAAAAACTGTCCAATGCCTACTGCGATTACAACAGATAATTCAACATAAAATAATTCATTTCCAAACATAGACCCAATTGAAAACACAACTAATCTACCAATTAAAAAAACCCATAAAACACTCATCAATAGCAATCAAACGCAGAAAGCATACAACAAGAGATCCAACCACTAACTATCCCACCAAGAGCAAAGACCACACATACACCCAACATAAGCAGATTCACAAACACCAAACGACCTAAAAAATTATCTAGAAAATGAGACAATGCATTTAAACAGGCAAAACACAAAACAAACGCACAATAACCCAAATCTCTTTATCAGCTGCTACATCTACAGAGGAACCTACTTTCACAACAGCAAAAAATAAATAAACAAAATTAAATCAGATCAAACTATCAAAACAAAAAAAAAACAATAGAATAAATGCTAAGTTATACTAAATCATTATTTGATAACCCAAACTCCAACTACTCCTTAACTTACGAACGGTTATTAAACTTTTTTTAAAACTGTGATCAGTGGCGGAGCAAGATCATAATTTTGTGTGCAGAACACATTTTGTCACGTCACGTCACTTATATTTAAAATTTCCAGAACGTCAACCTTTTTCAAATTTTCCTAACACAGTCAATAATACGAAACCCATATGGAACTACTCGATCTTTCATAGGCGTCAACCTAGTGTAATAATCAGAAACATGCAATCATCATTATATTGGAAATTTTAAAAAATAATAATTTTACTTAAATAGATTAGTAGGCAACTGATACGGGAATACTTCAAATTTTATTGACAGTTCAGCGTGTGGTAAAATTGTTTGAAGTGTTGCCGGTTTTTAGAGTAAGAATTTTGTTTATGTTTTGATTTCTTACACAATTTGATCATAATATAATCTATATTAATAAATATTAAATGTAGATTAATAGCTTTAAAAACTAATTATTGTTGTATTGTGATTGTGCTATGCCAAAACAAATAAATAGTCTGTAGAAAGCTGATAAGCCTCCATATAAGATAGATTATTTTGAACAAAACATAATGGCGGGACGTTTTTACTATTAAAGCCCTAAAAGAGGTAAGTTTAAAATTTAGAATACATAATTTTGTATTAAAATGTTTTCTTATGTATTTTAGTGTGTTGCAGTAGTCTTAAAACTAAGTGTATTTACTCTTAATATAATAGTTTGACAAATAGTTGACATTTTAAAAATTCCTCATTTACTAACTATTCTGATGTTTTTGGCAACGTTGTGGAGTTCTGACGTCGTAAATCTTGAATGACGTGCAAGCATTTTTATATGAAAAATGCTATACTCTCCTGTTGTCTCACTTACAGTAAGAAATCCAATAAAGTGTTCTTCTATTGTGCCCGTTGATGTATTACAAAATTTTAAGATCAGAGACATTTGTTCTACTTTACTACAGTCGCTAGTGCAGTCAAGCAAAAAATAATATTTTGTCTCTTTTAGAATTAAATAATCATGCGTAAGTTGTTTGTCAGTAATAGAGTGTCAGTAATAGAGAGTAATGAGTGTCATGGACAACGTATCATATCATTCAAGATTAATGAGAAAATTCCAAATATTACTTGAAAAAAATTAAAAATTCAAGAATTTTATTTGAGAAAGATTTGTACTTTATTTTAAATTTTCCAACGAAATTACGTGCCGACTATAACGTTTTTATTTTCTTGCAATATTATATAAATTTAATAATAATTGTTAATGTTGTAATACTGCTGAACTGCTTGGTGCGTTTATTTATTAAAAACAAAATTAACCGGATTTTTAAGGAAACATTTAATGAAAAATCAAATAGTAACAATCTAACAAATCAAAACTCAAAATTAACATAACATAGCAAAAGAAAAATGTCAATAAAAATTTTTTTTAATAGATAATAAACATTAATTTATAAACAACTATTTACAATATTTACAAATCATGTCCATATTTTTTGGCGCTAATCTGTTTCTTCTTGGTAAGTTGTTCGGCTTTCGAGAATAGTCATTTACTGGGTATAGAAGTTGCAGGTACACATACATATTTTAAGTGGAGGCAATATAATTCGGGCATACTATTTTTATGCTTTTCCCAAAAATGTAAGCGATCATCAGACCTAGGACAAGGAGGTAATTCTAAATACTACCTTAGACAGAGAGTTGCTGGTGTCGTTTCGGTTTTTACTTGAGCTTTTCATCAAAATATGACCAAAGAGAATTTTTTGAACAGGTTGCTTCATTAGCAAGCATTTAAAAGTGGTAGAGATTATTGCTGTAAGCTCATCAATAATCCATAATTTGAACATTTTTCGCGTTTACTTTTAGACCGAAACCAATTTTTTTTTAATTGTGGATCTAAAAATGCAGTATCTGCTGTTATTTTGTTTACTTCCAGAGAACCTAAACGCCTAGAAATGATTTCCATCAATTGATTTTGTAGCTACAATCCAGATCTGTCGCAGGTTTTAAATATTTTAGATGGTATTGTAAAACTCTAACTAAAAGAACTACAAGAGACATGGTTATATATTTTTTTTGAAAATAGTTCATTGGTTAATAACTATATAGGTTTTAAAATTCGTACACAATATGTCACTATAGCCCATTCTGAAGCATCTAGATTTTCGGGTGCTGCGAGCAAATTTATGAGAGTTATGGTTAAACTGTCTTTAATTATTAAAAGTCTTTCCAACATTAACAAAACAGAATTCCACCTTGTATCTACAGCTTGTTTCAGTTTTAAAACTAGTAAGTTCATTTTTAAGAGACATTTTTTAAATTTCATTGTAGCAGGTCTATAATTGTACTTTTTATATTCGAGCCATCATCAGACATAAATGTAACTATCTTAACATTGGAACTCTTTAAGTTTCATTCTCTAATGCAGTAGATAAATGATCTGCTATATTTTGACCAGTGTGATGGTACTGTTCCAATTCTTTTACACTTAATGTTTGGAAACATAATTTCATATTGTAATAAAATGACAGGTCATTGAAATATATGATTTATTGCTATTAAACTGCCAAATATCTGTACTTCTATTAGTGCTTGTTATTCATTCCTTATGACATAATTAACCTCATGATAATATTATATCCCAATTTGATTAACTGTTACACCAAACCGTTTATCTCATCTTTCACTTTTTCATTTTTCGCCCCTACCAAGTGTAATGTGCAGAGTATGCACTGCATATGCACGCTCTACTTTGACTTCAACCAATTCTACACTTTGCTCTCTGTTCTTTCCGAATTAATTCGGAATCGAATAATTATTCAGATTGTATTGAAATCAGTATTGAAATCATCCGAATATCTACATCATTGTAATCAACTGGCGAACGTGCTCCGAAGAAGGTGAAAACTCTCCTATAGACCGGAAAGGTGATTGTCACCTTTTTCTGGGATACATAAGGTATTATCTACATCGACTCTACCTGGAGAAGAGCAAACATGGTCCATTTTGGCGAAGAAAAAGTGCTCATGCTCCACCATGACAACGCATCAACTCACTTCCGCAATCGACACGGCCAATTGGTCGAACTGCTGCCACGATTCATCAAAGCTACGATTTGATAAATTGAGACGCCGAATATATAAACATAAACGGCGGAAGGAACACAACTCGTCAAACTTATCGTGTATAAATTAGTATCAATAGACTATTATAACGATATTTCTGTATACCCTATGTCTTCAGACAGTCGGGTAGATACTAACTCAATATACTTAATTGATTAATTAAAGATTAAGATGTTTATGAATTTCTTATTAATAATAAAATTTTAGCAGGTAAAAATATATGTTTTATTTTTTTGTGATAAACCTACAATTTTTTTCTTCCGGTATGGGTCTATGGAAGAGTATCACCAAATCGTACGCTTTCATCTCCTGTCGTACTGCCTATGCATGGGTCTATGGAAGAGTATCATCCATAGATCGGATCCATCCGATACAGCAGCATATATCCAGTCTAAGTAGAAGATTCTTTTAAAAACTACTACGTTAGCCTTTATGTTTTCTTCACAGAGCCTGAACCATTGTCCGCTAGATTATTTACAGTGAAGTGAAGGCGATTCGGCCCCCTAGTCCGTTAGGCTAACTGACCGACTAAAAATAATTAAAAACAAAACAGTGAACGATCATTTAATCTATTTCGTTTCTTTTGCATATAGTAAACTCTTTTTGTTTATTTATGGTTGTGAAAATATCGAATATATCCTTTTCTTGAATCTTTTATCATTATCAGTACTGCCTTTTGGACTTTCTCGTCATCATATATTTTTCTTTGTCCATTTTTTTTATACAGCATATATTCAGCCTGGGTTCTCAATTGTTAATATTACGAATTTTAATTCTAAAATTTGAATAAGCTTACGTCTTTAAGTTTGTGTTATTGATACTTAAAACGCCTTTGAAGTTAGGAGATTCACAATGTGTATTAGTTTCCTCGAAATCAACTTCAAATGTAGCCTGACTACTCTCATCAACTATTTCTAAAGTATCTTTATTGGAGTATTTTAAAATGTGTTTTTTATCGATAGTATTATTAATAGCGTTCTTGCTTACTTTTTTCAATCGTGAGCATTTCATGTAATTTCTAATATAGTTGCGGCAATTTTTATCTTGATACGTTCCTATAATAGTTTCTTCTGTCATTTTACTTTGAAGTTCATTTTCACTTTCAGTACTTTCATCGGTGTCATTATACACTTCTATTTTAATCAATTCGTCAACGTCACTTTGTGTTTCAACATTACTTCCATTATCATTTTCGTCGTAAGTTCGTATAATAAGCTTTTCTGGTTTAGTATCGGAATTTTCGGATTTAATGGTATATTCGTATTCCTTAACGAATGTACTTTTGGTAGTAGTTATCGCACTATTATTTTCACTTCCACATTTATCGTTGTCTATTCTTTCAATGGTATCATTTAAAATTTTACTGCTGTTTTTACGTTTATGGTTTTCTTTACATTCCTTACTAACTCTTTTACTTTTGGTAAGCCCCTTAGGGTTACTCATGGGACTCTGAGATCCTTCGATTTTTAAACTGCCTAACTGATATATTGCAGACTTAAGAGTTATTAGTGACTTTTCAACTTGCTTTTTGAATGTATATGCATTTATAATAAAATTTGAACAATGAGAACAAACAGTTTTTGGTAAACCATCTGACTGAAGAACCTGCAATTAAAACAAAATATATAAGTAACATGTAATAAATTAAGTTTTTAAAATCAATAATAATTTTTATATCAAAAACAATCTTATTCAGTGATTCCAGAATTATTACGGATATCTGGCGATTATGTAAGAGATTATTTTTACTATATTTAGAGGGATAAAGCTAATATTGTGCAAATATTATATATATATATGTGTGTGTGTGTGTGTGTTCGGAAAGATTTCCGCGGTTAGTACAATGAAACCTATAGCTAAAATTAATACTATTACAAAAATTAATATTAAACTCACCAGTCTCCCGAGCCCCCCAGAGACTACTACACTGTTCACTGATCACTGCACTGTCACTAATACTACCAGTAGATCAGTGAACAGTGTAGTACTGCCTGGGGGCTCGGGAGACTGAGACCTCGGAAGCCCTGACGAAGACATCAGAGAGGATGTCAAAAGCTTGGCAAAATGGATGTCGACGCGGTTCAACCCGGAAGACTGGTGAGTTTAATATTAATTTTTGTAATAGTATTAATCTTAGCTCTAGGTTTGATATATATATATATATATATATATATATATATATATATATATATATATATATATGGATCAGTCCCATTAGAACCTACCACTCAGACGAGTGGTGGGTTCTTATATCGGTCTCAAGGTGGAGATTTTAAAAGACAAAGTTGATGGCTACTTTATCTATTTTGAAGACGTTTCGCTTTCGTATTCTGAAAGCATCATCAGTTCATCTAAAAAGTACAATATGAAAACCACACAAGCATGGAGAAGATGTTATAAGTGTTACCTTAAAAAGACATGTAGCAGTCAATGATATTAAAATTGTGATAAAGCTCAAGTAAATGGACATTATACAGTAATATTGTATAAACAATCAATTAAACTAACAACAATTAGCAACTTATTAACACTTAACACAGCAAAAGGACATGTGTAATTGTAATTAACATTAAGCAGAGAATGAAGAACTAAGAATATCATAGATTCAATTCCAACTATATATGCAAAATTTATAGTTTGATTTGGTAGCATTGTTAAAGAGATTAATATTAAAATTTAAATAAATATAGTGTATGATGAAGTTACCAATCAAAGCCTCACAACTAACGCGCTAAAATGGCGTTAATTGAAGCAAACAGCGCCAACAACGTGAAAAGAGAGCCAACCTTGTATGTTATATATATATATATATATATATTATATATATATATATATATATATATATATAACATATATATATGTTATATGTATATAACATATACATATGTATATATTATATATATATATTATATATATATATATATATATTTATATATATATATATAATTACAGAATACACCACACAGATTGAAAATCTGCAGGACGTCTCAGGAAGGTATTTATACCAAAAACGAATATCAGAAAGATGCAGAAAAACATATAAATATCATCCAAAGCGATGGGGCCCAGGGAATCTATATAAAAATTAAAGCAAACATCTTGACTCAGCTAAGGAATCTCTAGGTGAAAGAAATAAGGGCAAGTCTCTCCCAAAACGAAAAACTCCGTGGTTCTATAGAGAGGCGTAGAAGAATAAGAAACGAAATACATGTACTTTTAAGAAGAATTAAAAATTAGTGCTGAGAAAGCGTCTCAAAAGAACTGCAGCATGATTTTTATGGTTTACAAAAAGAAATATGGTCCTTTATAAGAGGTCAAAGAGCGAAAGTGGGGGAACTAATAGACTCGAAACACATAAAAACAAATGCATGGATTGACTGTCTAGAGAAGTTATATACAGAGGAACAACAAATGACGTCGGAACCACAAACACCAGAAATTACCACAAACGAAGAAGTTCACAAATTTGTTGAATTTTAAAATATCGTGGAGCGGCAATGATGGATTAACTGACAAAATTAATTAACAAGATTATAAAATCAAATATTTGATCGAATTAGTTTAAAAGCAAACCAACAAACTGACAGCAAATGCCGTCATATCGTGAATTTGATCAAATCCTCTAAATATAGAGGGTCGTTTATTTTTCAAGATCACTTTAAACACACTTTAATTTGAATTGGTAGAAAAATATCTAAAGACAAATGATAATCAGCAATAAGACAAGATGTTGAGGTCATGAAATTATTTTTTTTATTGACAATGTGGTTTGTGTTTGTCTTCCTATCTTGGTATAAAATAAAAATAAAAGTTTATTTACATCAAGAAAGAAGGAAGAAACCACATTATTATAAAAAAAACGACATCGTAAAGAATCCGATCCAGTGAAGATAGCCACAAATGATGCATGGCAGTGTTTAAATATATTCGCTAATCTATCAAAGGGCAATTGCAAAAAGAAAATTCTAATTATTAATTCCAATTAATATCGAAAGAAACAAATACTTATTCGTTTTTATATAAATTAAAAAATTACAGAATCCATAAAATAATATAATACAAATGTACTTTTTCAAAGCATTATTTCTGTATATTAGAAGCATACATTTACATTATAAGGACATGGCACACAGCCAAACGCCAATATTTTGTTTTGTGGTCGTCATGGCTCTCTTCATCAGAAAGTATTCTAGACAATGTTCAAAAATTCTTCCAGACTTTTTATTTTGTAGGAATAGAAAAATTTGAATCGTAAATAAAACACAAACAACTAATAAACATAATATAAATATAATAAGCATTATAATAATAATTATAATATAACGTAATAAGTAAAAGTGGCAATTAGTTTCATTGACATACGTCATTAGACAACCGTCAATAAATATTTGATCAAATTGGAATGATAGTGTGAAAGGTAGATTTCAAAAATTTGAACAAACTGTAATTATAACGTCATTACTTCAGTTTAATCAAACTAATTTAATCCAATGTTTGACCGTGTACCACGTACTTGAAACACAATAAAAAGGCGATAAGAAACTACATGAAACTACAGAGGTATCAATTTGCTAAATACTAATTACAAACCTGAAACATACAACTAAACAACACAACAACTAACAAGGTTTCCTTGCAGGAAGGTCGTGTATAGATGCAATATTCGTCATAAAGCAGGTTATACAGAAAGTATTAGAAAACAATAGACACATATTCCTATGTTTGATCAACTTAAAGAAAGCATTTGACAGAGTAAGACTTGATGTAAGATGTAATACATCCTTTGTTTAATAGAGAGATTCCACTGGATTATAAAAACAATGGAAACAATCAAAACAACAATAAGATGGAAAACAGAATAGATAGCCAACTTACGGAACCTACAGGCAATTACATAAGACAGGGTGATTCACTAAGCCATATGCTATTCAATCTAGTCATGGATGAAGACATAAAGGGCGTCAACAAAGGAAGGGGGTACAGAATGGGAAACAATGAAATTAAAATTGTTTGTTACGCAGACGATGCAATATTTGACTGTGTCTATATGACTATGTTCTAGTCTATGACTGACTAGTTCACAGATTTAACACAAGAACAAAAGAATTTGACGATTTCAATTAGGTGATTGCACCCCCAAAAAATAAACTACAAATTCAAAAAATTTGAAAAAAATTGAGAAGGTATATGTGACAATTAAAAGTATTTTGACAAAGTTTGAACAAACTTCATGTTTTCGTTTTCGAAAAAACTCTAAAAAACTACTTTTTTCCAAGTATAAAGCGGGAAAACCAGACATACAATTTTGATAATTTTTTTTACAGCATAAAGATATAACCCTAAGAAATACTTATGAATTTTTTGAAAATTTTTGAATTTACAGTTTTGTCACTACGGGAAAAAATGTTATGTTCCGGCTTATAATAAAGCTACCGGTAAGAAACCGGAAAAAATTTTAATAACAACATATATAAAACTGTAAAAGTGGAATATATTTGCAATAAAACGTTGAATATTTTTTCCTAAACATATGAAAAATCTCGTTAAACAATAATTATATCTTGAATTGCCGGCATCAAATTGTATACTAGAGAGGTGGCTCCATCTCAAACGTTGGTAGTATTTATCATCGATAGATTGCATTACTTTCGGCCTCGAAACGCTTCAAGCGAATCGTCATACTAGCAGGGTTGCCATATCAATTATTTTGTACAACACTTTGACAAATTACAACAAGATTTAATAAGAATGTTATCGGTTTGAATGAATTTTATTTGGCATGCTAGAACTTACAGAATAGTAGATACTGTACTATTCCATCTACAAGTAATATATCTATAAAAAACGTATTTAGTTTCTAAAAACCTATTTAGGCGTTTTTAGTTAATTATTTTAGTATTTATAAACAATAGTCTTGCTTGCATAACGTATTAGTGATAATTTTTATATTATAATATAAGCATTAGTTATTCTTAAGTAATTCACATTTGTCAACTTGTATTTTAAATCTTGTTTCTCTTAATTTCTCAAAAATCTTCTTAAGATTTACCATATGTTCTTAAAGTGAGGTTGAAAATGTCCCTGTAGACTAGATATATTTCGCCTGTAAGTCTTTTTATTATGTTCTCCATTACCTACTCTCTAAAATGTTGAGGGTGCATTTTTGAGTCCGAATGGCATTCTCAGGCATTCATAGTGGCCATTTTCAACGTTAAGTCTTCCAGTTAAGTTCCCTTAAGTTATGCAGTCTTCCAAATATCTTCTTCCTTCATTTTAATTTGATGTAATCCGCTGGCTACAACTGGGTGGAAAAATATTTGCAGCGACCTAGTTTGTCCAGAATGTCTGTTATATTTGGAATTGGGTATAGACCATCGATGGTTTTCTTGTTCACCTTCCTGTAGTCGACAACTATTCTCCATTTAATTTTTCTTGGGCATCTGGTTGCTTTGGAATGACCCACATTGGGGACGACCAGGGCAATTGTCTCAGTTTGATGATTTCTTGATCGATCATCCTTATGGATGTGTGGATACCGATTTGACTTGGTGTAAACCGGAACTTCATCTCTTGTTCGTATATGATGTTTTATTTGATTAGTAAATGTTAACTGACGTCTGAATAATGAAATATGCATGATGCAAACTTCCTGCACTGTCGTTTTCGGTAATATTCTTCTATTGTATTAAAATGATCGGTTCTTAGGAAAGGATCGACATCTCTTAGATTTATTGGTTGACTTTTGATGGGATCCGTTATTGCTACTTGAATATATTCATCGGTGTTATTGACTAGCTCGGTCCAGGCAAGTTGATTATATGCGACGGTGAGAATTTCTCTTAGGATGGCACCTTCGACTTCTTGTTTTTGGATGACGATTTTACCTGATGTTTCTTTTACTGTAAATTTGACTTGTATAATTCTTTAGGGCTCTTGGTGGACTATATAGAATTGGGCTTTATTTGTGGCATAGTAATTAATAGGAAGAATAGAATGCGCTGTAGTAAGAGTAGCTTGGGTAGAATCGAGATTTGCTTTAAGAAGCCTTAAGATTAAGACCATCAAATGTCTTGTAAGCTTTGCAAATATAAAATTTTAAGTTAATATTTGAGTTAAATTCGGAAAAAATTGGAATTTCTACACAATAACCTTCTGAATGATTCAAAAAAATTGATGTAGCAACTGGTTCATATTTAATATTATTTTTGGGGAATTTATTTGTTATATCAGGATTAAGAAAAGATTTAGTGGCTCTTGTAACAATAAGAAGTTTAAGAGGGAGATTTTGAATTTTAATGTAATGAAACTCTCTTTTGTCAGCAAAGGAATGCAATTCTACTAAGTTTCTTCTTTTTCTTTTGAAATCTTTGAAAATTTACATCTTTGTCCTCATATTTTTGAATTTTTTGTTCATAGTAAGAGTAATCTGGGTATGTGTCTATATACCTTCGTCATAATTGCTCTTGTTGTTCGATATTAAAGAGCTCTTCTACCGTGAATCGGGGCCTGGCTGTCTTTTGAAAGCGGAAGTTTCTTTGAGATTGGGGTCTATTGCCGGTTTGGCGTCTAAATACGCTAATAGGTATTGGCTTATATGATTGAGATGGATATGGTTTATGAAAATTGGGTTGGTTAGTTGTAGAATTTTGTGCATATTAAGTGATTTGTTGATTTTGTTGGAATCTAGGGGGTTGAAATGTCACTCTTGGACTATTGTTGAATGGCTGTTGTTGCAAAGGCAACAACAGCCTGTTGTTGTTAAGTACAACGAAAAGATCGACAAGTACAGAGATCTGGAAATACTGGAGTCATTCCGAAGAACCTCCTAGAAAACATAAAAAAGCTGGGTCTAAATGAACATCTATATAAGGTCATGCAGAAAGCTGTGCTACTTTCGACGTCCAGATGCGTGCGAAAATTTTTAGGAGATACACCGACGTACCAAGTCACCTAGGACTCGATAACATGGAAAGAGTCCCACCAGAGCTCAATCCTTTTGATATCGTAGGTATCTGGGATGAGTGAATTTTCCCCTTAGAGGGAGTGTGAGCCGTATGGCTAAATCTGAATAATAATAATAATAATACTCCAAAGCAAACTTAATTAAAAGCACATAGTAAAAGCAATAAACACATACGCAATACCACTTATCACATTTGGCTTTATAAAGTGGTCGAATACGGAAACTGAAGAACTAATTAGATCAAATATAACCGTGATAACTAAATACGTATCAACCACCCCAAATCATACATCTAACGCATGACACTACCACGCACACAAGGCAAGAGAAGAACGTTGTAATTTGGAAATATCACCCACTACTTAAAGATAGCAAAAAAACAAAGACAAAAATATATAGAGCAGGAATTAGACCAGTGATAGCATACGGAGCGAAAGTAATATGTCTTACGAAAAAAGATAAAGAAAAAGTAAGAATTATTAAAAGCAAAATTATAAGAATAAACAGCCCAATAAGGCCTGAACACGGAGAATATAGAAGACTAATGAAGCATGAAATAAGAGATAGAAAGGGGAAGAGATAGTAAAATTTATTAATCCACAAAGACTGAGATAATTTGAGCACATACAAATAAGAGAAGAAGACGCATTAATTAGGAAGATAACAAACCTGAAACCAGTAATAAAAAGAAGACATGTTCGCATGTTTTAGACGATTGACCATTTTTCATATAATTCGCACTAAAATATTTAATAATACCAGATAATTTAATTTTTAACTATCAACAAAAAAATAATATATGAATGCATGTATAAATTTAATGGTAATACGATACTACCGCTACAGACACAGATAGCGCCGCTAAGTACCTCTTTGGCGATAAAAATGTTTAGATAATAAATATAGATCATTTTTCAATGATATGTGTGAATGAGACCTTGTGTTCCTGCAAAACCGTAACTTTGTTTATTTTGACACAGCAGAGCAGTAAAATATTATACATAAAGATGTTGTTAAAGATATCTTTGCTAACTCGGTCTACTAGTAAGCGTAAAAGTTATAGCGTATTTGATAAAATTACTGTCTACACAATTTGGCAACTCAGTCAATGGATATAATGATAGAAAACTGTAATTTATATTAGGGTTTGAAAATATTACAGAGTTATCATGTAGAAATCTACAATTAAGTTAAAAAATTTACCAGATTAGCATGCCTCAGTAGAGCCATCTCTAGGATCAGAAACAAATTAATTGTGGGTGAAGATCAACCTCAATTAGAAACTAGAACAATACTAATCAGTAAATAAAAAATAAGATGTAAACTTCTGGAGGAAGTCGATTGATATTGAACAAGTAATGGGAATAATGTACCTAAGATTACAGTGTCAAGCTATGCAGACAAAAAAGAAATAAGCGATCAAATACAAAGAGCAAATAGATTATGAGGATGCCTTAATAACACTATATGGCGTAACAGACACATTAACATTGAGATGAAATGAAAAAGGCCAGTATAAGACCAATAATGACATACGCAAAAGAAACAAGATAAGACACAGCCAAAACACAAAGGCTGTTAGAGATAGCAGAAATGAGAATATTCAAAAGAATTACAGGAAACACGCTGAGACACCGAATAAAGAGTGACGAGATCAAAATAAGATGTAATGTACATAGTATAAACGAAAGGACACACTCACAGAAAAAAAGGAACAATAACATCAGTAGAATGACGGACACACAATAGTTCTTAATGTAGCAAGGGAGAAATCACCAAGTGGTAGAAGAAGTATCGACCACAAGAGCGCAAGAAATGGAGTGACAATCTTACATACAGGCAACAATCTGCCAATGAATAAGCTACTACTACTACTACTACTATACTACTACTATTAATCTGCTTACCTCAGTTAAAGAAAAATTTGACAATAAATCACATAATAAGATCCCATCATGCTTTGAAGTAAATAAATCCGTTGTCCCATTCCTAATCAAACAAGTACGGCATTTTCCTTTTAGCTGTTCTATTACACCATTGATCGGATTCCTTTCATCCTCGAACATTTCATCTTCTGACATATCGGTTGTGTTCTCAGATTCTACCAAAAAACTACTTGTGTCTTTCTGTTTTCCTAAAATTATTAATACCAACATTTAGAAACTCTTCTAATTACAAAAAAAAAGATGTTACAGCAGGCTGTACAGTCGACTACCACGAAGCTTTATACTATCTTTTCTATATTTTTAAAATTTAAATATTTTTAAAAATTGAATAAAGTAATTTATTCTTTATTTATTATTTATATTTTAAACATACGTCGGCCTAATTGTAAAATCACCTAACTCCAAAAAATTCGAAATTAGTTTTTTTTCCATTTTATGAGGCCAGCTGTTTTGTACAACCTCTTAAAAACACATAACTCTAAAAAAATTATTTCGAGAGATACATGGGATTTTACAAATCACCTATATTTTCGGTGCGATTTTTATGTTTGCAAACCTGCTATCTCCAGCCATTTGCATTGCATGGCAACATGGTTAAACACTGTGATGTTTCGCTATGAATAACTGTAGTTCTTTATATACGTGTTACTTGATTAATGGATTCTACTTTTGAAGTAAGTAATACAGTTTATTTTTAGTAAAGTTTAACGTAAGTCGCATTAACGTAGGCAATAAAAAATATTAAATTAACAATTACTGGAGTTAAGAGTATTGTTATCATATTACAGTTGAGGTTAGTTAGGCCCGAAATGGGAGTTAAGTGTTTTGAAAATAGATAGCTATAAACCGACTAATAGTTACATTATTATAGTAAATTTTTAAGTTGTTTAATGCTCTTAGTTTTTTTGTATGTTTGTACCGTCTCCACCAAGTATTAAATAATAGATTTCTCTCAATAAAATAATTAATATGGGAGTTATTGGTTTTTGTATTTATAAGGGTATGGAGTAAGGTGATTTGTTACTAGGAGGTAGGTGGTTTGCTTTCTAGTTTTGTACAAGTCACCAATTCATTTCGGAGTTAGTTGTTCAGTGTATTTATCATTTTACTTCTAATATGCTAAAAGTTAATTAAACAAAACTATTAATTCCAGGATGCGACGGAGAGCAGACCTGATTTTTGAGAAGCTTCGACTAGCAACGAACAGTCAAAAAAAAGGGCTTGAAGATGTGAAAAGTAAAATGAAAATAAATGTGTCTGATGAAAACATTGTTCAGAAAAATGCAGACCCAATTACTGAAGGAAAACTTCCGCTAATGAAAACTTCAATAAAGGTTAAAGATCCTGAAAAAATAACTTCCTGTGGTTCAACAACTGTAAACACCTTTAATAATAATATTCTTCGAGATTCATCAGGAAATATATCAAAATATTCTTTTGCTGAAACACTTAACTCAAGTAGGCCTACTGAAGACTCTCCAGTTCTACCTGAAATGAGTGAGAACACTTTCGAAGTATCAAATGAAATATATGAAACAACATCTTTAAATGCCATTGACCAAGATATTTGTATTAATATTAACGATTCGAATGATGAACCATTGATATTTATTGTAAGTAAAGGTGGTGAGTTGACACCAATTGAAACCATTGTAGAAAATAACACAACTTTACCGATATTGTCAAATGAAGTACACCTATTTAGTGGTAATGACTTTGATGAACTGTGTGTTTTCGGGAATGATCCACATGACACACGGTTTCAAATACGTGACACGGAAAGAGATAAAACCTCAGAACAATCTGAGATTATTGAAGAAAGCACGGCTATCCCAGAACAAATTAACGCTGAAGTAGACCTGGGGAGAGAAATAGAATTGGAATCAGTAGAAGAGGCAGTCAATTCCTCTGATTCTGCTAAAGTCAATAAAACAATCAACTTCAATAAAGAAAATCAAGATGAAACTGATTTTACCCCAAACCGAATACGGAGGAAGAGACACCAAGTTAAAGATGATGATTGGGAGTATAAACGAGCTAAAGTTTTAAGAGAGAAGGGTAAACAGTACAAAGGTCGAAGACTTATTGATGGTAAATCAAAATTTGTGGTAGAGAAACCTCCCAAACAAATGAAGCCCGTTAAATGTAAATGTAAGTTACCAACTTTTAGTTGTAGTCATTTGTCAGAAGATGACAGGAAACAGCAGTTCACAAAATTTTGGAATATGACCTGGAACGAAAAAAAAAATCTATGTAGCAGGACTAACAGAAATAGATTTACCAGCAAGATCACGAGATAGAAAGGTAGAAAATGTATCAAGAAGAAAGTTTTCTTACAAGTTTTACCTAAGCTTTGATAAAAAGAAAATAAGAGTTTGTAGACAGACTTTTCTTGATACATTTGATATAAAAGGTTGGACAGTTAACTGTTGGCTCAAGGAAAAAAATGATGAAAATGAATATAATTTAAATGAAGTGATAGAAAATGAGAATGGAATGGATAATATTATATTAAGCAACTCAGGTAAGAAACAGAAGAAGAATCGATCATCCAGACAAGAACAACTTATTGCTAAACAGAACAGCTTAAAAGAGTTTCTTTTGTCATTACCAACAATAGAATCACACTATTGTCGTAAATCGTCTACTAAACTTTATCTAGAACCTATTTGGGCTTCAAAAAGTGGGATTTACGAGCACTACAGTACAAAATGGTGCAAAGAAAAGAATATTGAACCTTTGTCTCAATGCTCATTTCACAAGTCTTTTGAAGATTTAAATCTAGCTATATTTCAACCCAAAAAGGACCAGTGTGATTTGTGTAGGGCTTATTCAATGAAACATATAAGTGAAGAAGACTATCAATGTCACATAAAGAAAAAAGATGAGGCTCAGAGAGAAAAAGAAAAAAGATAAAGCAGAAGAAGAATATGTTTTTACTATAGACCTTCAATCTTTACTACTACGTCCAAAGTCAAATGCATCCGCGCTCTATTATAGACGCAAACTTTCAGTTCACAACTTTTGTATTTTTAATTTGCGAAGTAAAGAAGGTTATTGTTTTTATGGAACGAGAGTGAAGGTAACTAACATCAAACGAATTTTAAGCATACTTTCGATTTCTTGAAAACAAAGTTCTCTCTGATAATCGTTCTGATATTCCTAAGAAATTTATAATTTACAGTGACGGTTGTACATATCAAAACAGATGTGCTACATTATCAAATGCATTGTTACATCTTGCAATAAAACATAAGGTGACAATTGAACAAAAAATTCTTGAAAAGGGCCATACGTACATGGAATGTGATTCTATGCATTCCGTTATTGAAAGGCATCTTAAAAATAAAGATATCAATGTTCCAGCAGATTATATCGCTATATGTAAAAATGCTAGAAAACATCCTAAACCTTATGAAGTGAAATATTTAGACTATTCTTTTTTTAAAGATTTCAGCAAGGGCATGAAGTATAAATCTATAAGACCTGGGAATAAAGTTGGCGATCCCAAGGTAACTGACATCAGGTGCCTTAAATATTCTACTGAAGGCAAGATTTATTTCAAATTAAATTACCAAGATAACTATGAAGAGCTTATGCCTGATACAGAAAAAAATAAGGCTCAAAAGAAATCAACTAGAAATTCAAGTAAATTGAAAACTGATTCTGACGAAGGTAATAATGTTATTAACTTTAACTTCCACCCATTATACAAAGCCAGACAAAAGATACCACGAGAAAAATTTAACCATCTTCAAGAACTAAAGCTAAGTGTACCCAAGGATTTCCATTCATTTTACGATAACTTACCAACTGAAGTGTAAGCGAGAATAGTTACAACTATTTTTAAATTTTTAAAATCATGTAGCTCATTTTTAAAATCAATGTTAATTTTGATTAAGTATTTTTTATTTTGTTCAGTTTTTTGTATTTAAACTAAAGAGTATTGTTAGTTTCTTTGAAATGTTAAAAAGGTAGGCTCATACATTTATTGTTCTTCAGTTTACAGTTCCTAAGTGTTCTTATTTATATGTAGCTATTTTGTACTGAAAAACACTTTGTATACCAATAATAAAAATAATAAAAGAAGTGTTTAAATTAAAATAGCTCATTATTATCATTGAAGTACAATTTTACTATTAATCTAGTATTCATAAGCCATGTAACTTCACTTAGAAGGTACAATTATTATGTATCTAATCACCCAACTCCTACAAATAAAATACATAACTCCAGTAATTTCATTAAGCAAAATCCATAACTCCGAATATAAATCACCTAACTCCAGGCCTCTTAATTATCAAAACACATTACTCCAAATAATCCCCCTTGTACATATTAATTTTTGTTAAATCTTATTTAAAGATATTCTGTAAAATTACAAACAAACAATTAAAAAAAATCCGCAAAAAAACTTCCTATAAGTTTTTAGCGAGCAAGTTTTTTGTGCCTCCTGTAAAATTAGAAATAAGTGAGTTAGGTGATTTTACAATTAGGTCGACGATATATTACATCAAATAATTCAGAATTATTATGTTTGTTCCTAACGCCACCTGTTGACGTATTAACAAAGCATACGTTGTTTAGTTCTGACGTTCTGGCAGACCTGTCAAATTCACATGAAAGATTAAATTATAATAAAATATAAATAAATATTTGATAGCAAATATAAATATTACATAAACTAAATAATATGTTTAAAAATAAATAATTGCATTTATATGAAATTATTTTAAAACGAGAATCATAAAAATTTAAACAGATGATTAAATAGGTCTGTTCTTTTGTTTTCTAGTGTAGCACTTTCGAGTGTAGTTGAGTGTAAGCTACACTGGCTAGTGTTAAAACGAAAATCATGGCTGTGACACTAAACAAGGGAATTTATCACGAGTAAAAAGACAAAGAGGGAATCTAATCCTTATGAAAAGGAGACCAAAAAAGTGGCCTCTGATGGCGGACATATCCGGAAATGCGAATGCGCCAAATTTAAATTTTCAGAACTTATTAAGTACACTTCATCTAATTTTATATAACGATGCACGTCATCGGCGTCATAGCCTGTGGCGTCACATGATACCAACACAAAATATTTAGGGTGTAGGTGTGTTCTTTTTTTAGTACCACTTTACCGAGACACTGACATTACAGCCACTAGACATATTTTATTATATACGCGTAGAAATCATATTTAAAAATTTCTATTAATGTTAACTTGAAGAAATACACAATAATATGTTTCATTTAATTTGTATAAATGCATTATAAAGCGTTTTTATCAAGAACATTTGTTCGGAACACACTGTAACTGTAATCGAACGAAGGTAAAATTTTGGCATAAATTGGTAACACTTTATTTGACAGTTGCGGTGTTGACACTTTTTGTACTTCATTATTTTGAATTTTAAAGTGAATATCTCTTGTTTTATATTTTTAACTATCTAATAAAATCTGTTCTTTTTAGAACAAAATTAGTGTGTTTTATTTCAAAAATGTCACGTAAGAATTTAAATAGTCGTTGTAAAGAGATGGTAATACTTTTGCAATAATTATGTAATCTATTTGATTTAAAATGGAGTCAGGATTTTTTTATACTTTGGCAACTATGTCAACTTCGATCTCATGACGTAGATAATGACGTAAGTCGTTATCTAAATTAGATGACGTATAGTTGTATAATATTTTTCAGAATGTATCTTAGGCGAGAAAGTTTTAATTAATTATTAACGATAATAGTCTAAAATGCGACACAATTATTAAAAAACTTCAATATAAATAAGATTTCATGTGACATTTGGGACAAACAATAACATAACCCAACTAAATTTGATGTCAAACAAGGAGAGAGACTCTTTTTCCTTGTTTAATGTGGCCTCTAAAGATCGCACTTCCTGTCTAACAATATTTTTGCCCCCACTACCTTTACATTCCCTCTTTTGTCTTTTTGCTCGATGAATGTTATAGTGTAGTTAACCTTATTCAAGTCAAATTATTTTACGACTTGTTTATCTTTAGATTTTTTTTGTTTTATTTTCTTCTACTTTCGATTTTCCTTCTTTAATTTAAATAAACTTTATCGTTAAATTTCCATGGGAAGTTTTAGGGGAAAGCGCGGGGTGAAAGTGGTAAACTTTTTTGTATCGTTTTTGGGGTCCCAAAATCTAATTGCAATACATTTAAATTTAAAAATTGCTATACTTATATTTTTTATTTACCTTTTAGTATTTCTGGAAGATGGATCATTAAAGGTTTTTTCTGTGAGTTCTCTTGCTGGCTTGTGGAAGACAAATCCTCTTTAAGTCTTCTTTTTGAATACTAAAAATAAGGTTCACAATAACTATATATGAAGAATACAGGGGAAAAACGCTGTAAGTCAATTTTTATCGATTTTTTGATGAATACATTTTTTGATACTTGGATACACGTAGTACAATCCACAAATGTCAAACAAAATAAAAGTGCAATAAGTCAAACGTTACAAACGAATAAAATAATGCTGTTCAATGGAAGAGCGCTGCAAGTCAAGGTTAAACTAGGCAACAATGCTATAGGTAAGTGAGATTTAGGTGCTCAATGCGCCTGTCCGTAGGGACAATTTATAACGGAAAATCACAGTCAGTGTTCAGCATTCATACAAATTGTTTATTTTAGTATCATTATTATCATAATCACAGTTTGTTTTTTAACGTTTAGTAAGTTTGAACTATTGTTTATTAATATGGAAAGTGAGGACATTGAAATTGAAGAGGCTTTACAGTCAAAAACTACAAGAAAACGAAAAAGTTTTGGGCGAATATGTAATGTAGCTAAAGCGCTAAAACTGCATACTCACGAAACAGGCGAGGACTGCCGTTGCAAACGTTATCAGTGTTTTGAAAATATAACGGTTGAACAAAGAAATAGAATTATTCGTAATTTTAATTCTATGCTTAATTGGGACGAGCAAAGTTTGTATTTGGGTGGTCTAATATCCATACTTCCTGTGACTCAAAGAAGGCCAAGAAAAGACGAAGAGAATTGCAACGAAAGAGATGGCTCTTTTTATTACAGAATTCGCCTTGCGGTAACTAATGATGAAGGGCATACATCATCTGCAAAAGACGTTCAGGTTTGTCAAAAAGCTGTTGCTCTTTATGGCATATCCACGAGAAGATTACAAACTATACAGAAAGCCCTAAAACATGGTACAACCGCCAAGGACAATAGAGGTAAACATGGCTCAAGACCCACTAAATATCTGAAGAAACTATGCAGTTAATTTTAAAACACATAAAATCATTCAAAGGGCGCATGAGTCACTATAGCCTAAAAAAATCTAGCAGGAAGTACCTTCCAGAGGAACTTAACATTAACAAGATGTACAAAATGTTCCTTGAGAAACATCCCAATAGAGCAGTATGCTATGAAGTATCTAGAAAAACATTCAATACACGCTTTAATCTCCTTTGGGTATCCCAGAACCGACACCTGCAGCTTTTGTGATGCTTCCAAAATAAAAATAAGGGAATGTAAAGATGAAGAATTAATTAATAAACTTAAAACAGGGCAGAAACTTCACTTGCTGAAAGCACAGACATTTTACAAACAAAAAACAAAAGTTAAACTACGAGCAAGGACTTCAAGAGAATATGAAGTCATAGCCATGGACTATAATAAAAACCTTTCAATGCCCAATATTACGAGTAACGACGTGTATTATAAAAGGCAGTTGTTTTTCTACTCCTTTAATATCCATCGACTAAGTGATAATGATGTTGTTATGTACTCGTACCCTGAGACAGTAGCTCGAAAGGGTGCCAATGCAGATTCTCATTTCTGTATGACTATGTGACAATCCAGCTTCCTCCTGAAGTTCGTAACTTAGTGATTTTCTGTGATTCGTGTGGAGGCCAAAATACAAATTGGAAGGTATTCCGGTTTCTACATTATTTAGTCCATAAAATAAACAGATTTGACTCTATTTCAGTGACCTTTCCTATAAGAGATCACTCCTACATGGAGGCGGATAAACATTTTGGTATCATTAACCAAAAAAGTGCAGCAGAAACCCCAGAAGATTGGGAAGCAGTGTTACGATTGGCTCCTCAAAAACCTGCGCCTTATAAAGTAAAAGTGGTTGATAATTCTTGGTGCGTAGCTGGGACACTTTTCTTGCACCTATGTATGCTACAAAAGCACCTTTTAATACTAGACCAATAAGAGAATTAAGCATTTCAAAGCAACATCCCAGACTAATTTATTTCAGAGACACCTACAATGGAACAATGGTTTCTGCTGTCATTAACAAAAAAGTGAGTGATAGGGAACCACCGTATACTGGAAAAGAATTCGTTTTTCCTTCTCGATCCTATACTGAATCACTGCACATTCCAATGGCCAAATTCAAAGATCTCCAAGTTTTTAAAAAAAATTTGTTCAGAAAAAGGAAGAATGTATTTTGATCACCTAAAAAAACATGACTTATTTTTTATCTTTTTTTTACAATGTTCTTGATTCATTTAACAGATAATATCAATGTTTTTAGCTTTAGTTAAGTTAAACAAGTCTAAGTAGTTCTGTTTATTTTTTTCTTTCGTTGAATTAATATTATATTTTGTCAATTACAACGTTTTTGCCTTTTTCCTCCAGACCTTTGGTTCTTTTTTTTTTAATTTCTCTTGTTACCTACTGTACATAACAATTTCAGTTGTATGATATCATACTCTGTATATATGCGTTGTCAAATACTCAATACAACAGTGTTTTAGCTTGTTTATTTATGAATTATGAAGTTTTGAATCTAAAAATCGCGTTTTCCAAAAATTTAAAAAATTAACTTACAGCGTTTTTCCCCTGCAGTCTTCATATGTAAATAAACATGCCAGGGATGGCAAAACTTAAAAATTAAAAGTTCACGTGAGTTTTCAAACGGGCTTTCAAACCGGTTTAGAGGCATCTTCGGGTAAAGGAAGACGGCCCATAATACGTATAAAATTGTATAATTTTATCAATTAATGAAAGAAGATATATTATATTGTTAATGTAAAATTCATCCGTATTTTACTTTAATAATTAATAAAACCAGAAAAACAAAACAAAACAAGTATAAAGTTTCTTTGGCTTCATACATGCTAAACCATGGTCACAGCTAGTGATCAGTGTAGTAGTTTCTGGGGGCTCGGGAAACTGAGACCTCGGAAGTCCTAAAGAAGACATCAAAAAGGATGTTGAAAGTTTCCGGTTCAACCCGGAAGTCTGTTGAGTTTAATATTAATTATATATAATATATATATATATATATATATATATATATATATATATATAATATAATAAAGAAATATTGGATATTAGTGACTGTCGATATAAACAAACAACACAGTTTATTATGGTTGCAGTCAGAAAATTGGCCGGGATGTTAAATATCATACAATTATTTTAGCATGTGTGTGTGTTTGTGCATTATTGGCTTCGGAGTCTCTGTCCATTCGCCATCTTACCTTTATGGGATTATTTTGTATTTTTTATTCGGAAGCTCTAAAGGAGTGCTCCTTGTTTTCTTCTCGTTTGCTATACAATCATAGTCCTGCTCTAATTTTACAAAGAATTTTTTCCTATATATCTAATTTTACAATTATACCTTAGATTTTTATTTCTCTTATAAAATATATTCAGCTTGTTTGTAATTGTTTATATATACATATATATATATATATATATATATATATATATATATATACACATTTTTTTAATTTGGGATATTAGACTAGGATACAATTTGACGCTCAGGGGTCGATCAGAGCATTTAGACGAGACAGGTGGACCTGAAATAGACTTAGGGCTTTGCACGAAGGGAAAAAACATAGGTTATAAACTTAATCTAATACATAAAATATGTTTATACAAAATTTGATAAATATTACAATCTTCTGAACTTAATAATTGGGTTAAGTTATATGGTTGGTGATTTTGGGTATTTTGGTTATTTCTTCACTTAATACTTTTACTTCATTACTTATTTTAGAACAGCCTAATATCATGTGCTCTGTTGTACCTTCTTCTCCGCATGGACAATTAGGAGAATCACTTAATTTTATTTTGTATTTATACTGCGGAGTTAAAACATGGTTGAAACCTTAATCTGCACCAGAGAAAAACCGCTTACTTCCCGACAGTCTTGAGAATCAAAATTGGCTAGGAGGCTCGGTAACTAAGTTTTTATAAAATTTTTCTTTTGGACTGCTTCTATACATTTCTCTTCATTCTGTTAGTAATATGGGCTTTATGTGGCAAGCAATTTCATTGTGAGGACATTTATACTTTAAATATTCTCCTGTTCTACTTCCTATTTTTGCTTCTTCGTCTACTTCTTCTTCTTCTTCATTTTCTTTTATTCCACAATGCCCTTTAATCCAAACAAGTGATACACTAATTTTTTGAGATTGTAGTTCATGAAGTTTAGTAATTATTTTGGTAAAAATATAATTACTAGTGACCTGGTGGATATTTTTTATTTTGATAACAGCACTTTTACTATCTGAACAAATTGCAAATGATTCTTCTGTAACTTTCATATTACTTATATATAGAAGAGCTTCTAATATGGCGATTAATTCTGCCGTATATATTGTTAGTTTTTCATTTAATTTATAAGATTTTTTAATGTTATTATGTGAATCAAATATAGCGCAACCTACTTTATTGTTACTCTTTGATGCATCGGTGAATATATATCGACATCTGGGAAGATACTTTTCTAAATCTTGCTTAAATATGTATTGTCTAATTCTTGGGTGAAATTTTGAATAATCTTGGAGAAAAACACTGTTAATTGGATGGATATTGTAAATATTTATACTATATAATGGATCTATATCTGAAGAGTGTATTTCTTCTATTACGTTATGTATTACATAATATGACTCTGTAATAGTTAAACTTTTTTTCGACTTCCAATAACTATGGGTAAGATCCGATGTCAACAGTATATTAATTTTTTGGACTAAGTCGCTTTTTTTGGAGCTTAAGTTAGCTATAAAATTGGAAGCTAAAATCTTTCGGTGATATTTTAGTGGAGTTTCCGCTACTTCTGCAAATAAACAATCAATTGGTGTACTTTTTAAAGCCCCTAGGCATAGTCTTAGGCATAGCAAACTTCTGTTTTTTTCCTGGAAATTTTTAAACCATTTTCATTACAAGCTTTATTGAGGTTCTTATAAGCTAGATTTAATTTTTTGCACCCTTCTTCAATATATTGACATGGTGAATATATACAAATATCATCGGCAAATTGTAGTATAGAAATGGTCTCACACTTAATTTTACATTCCAGATCTGCTGTGTATATTAAGTATAGTACAGGGCTTAATATACTTCCTTGTGGTAATGCAATATTGGTCGTTTTAGGGCCCAATCTTTCATCATCTATATTTATTAAAACTGTTCTATCGGAATATAGTAATTTGATATGTGAGGTCAAAGCTTGAGAAATTTCATTTTTTCCATTTTTTCATAGAGAATGTCTAATATTACATTATCATATGCTGATTCTATATCTACAAAAATGGCTGGAAGTGATTTGTTGTTAGTAAAAGCGATATTTATATCACTTACTAGGTTACCTATATTTTCAATGGTTGAACATCCTCTTCTGAAGCCAAACTGCAATTTAGGTAATTTTTTATTGTTTTCAAGCCAATGAACTAGTCTGACTTTGATCATTCTTTCTAAAGTTTTTAAGACACAAGATGCTAGAGAAATTGCTCTATATGAATCTGGATCTTCCGCATCTCGATTTGGCTTTAGAATTGGGATTGCTGAATATTCCTTCCAGCTTGTTGGAAATTCTGCCCGATTCCATGTTGTATTTATTATTTTGCGAAAAATTTCTATACTTGACTCTGACAAACTAGCGAGCATTTTATTATAAATGTTATCAACTCCGGGCGCTGTATTATTGTTAGTTTTGAGGCTTTGTTTTATTTCCATACTTGAGAATTCCCTATCTATATCATCCGTGCTCAGTGAACTAATCGGCCGAATATTTGTTTCCACCCAACTTGGAGCAATTTTATTGAAGAACATTTCTACCCACTCCCCTATCTGGATCCTATTTTTTGGAGGATTAAATGTATTTTTTATTTTCTTTATATATTTCCATATATCTTTTATAGGTGTGTTTCTGTTAAGTTTTTTACAAAAATTTTGCCAAGAATCTTTTTTGCTTTGTAATATTATTTTTTTGCGACTGCTACTGAATTTTTATATTTTAAATAGTTAGTTAAATTTGACTGCCTTTTGTAAAGCAAAAAAGCTTCTTGTTGACATTTAATGGCATTTGCACATCTCTGATTTCACCAAACTTTGCTAAATTCTGATTTGATCTCTGTTCTCTTCTGTGGGATTGCTAGTTTTGTAGCATGATTTAGTGACTATAAAATTTTTATAAGATCTTTCGTTATTACTTTCATCTAATAGTTCATATACTATCTGAGAGAAAAGGGACCAGTCAGCTTTATTTAAATTAACTTTGTTTTTACACTTAAAGGATACTTGAGTAGTATTAAAATGTGTTTCAATTAGAACAGGAAAATGATTGGAAGTACCTAATGGTATAATATCAGTTTTCCAATCACAATTTAAAGTTATATCTCTAGAACATATTGTTAAATCTACAGCAGATTTATTATTACTTCCAAATCTAGGTATTAATGTTTCGCTTCCTGTATTTAAATAATTTAAGTTACACTCCTCTATAGCACCAAAAAGCCTTGAACCCGATATATCTGAATATCTATTTCCCCATGCAGTATGATGACAATTGAAATCACCTCCTACCAAAAATGGCTTTTCTAGGCTATCAAAAAAGGTAACCCAATCTGTTTCTCTAATGTTTAGTTTTGGTTTGGCGTATATAGAGTATAGATGGATTATGATATTTTTATTTATTGACACTGATACCGACACACATTCCACGGACTTTATTGGAGTAAATTTTGGCTTAGAAAAAAAGGTAAGGTATTTTCTTAATAAAATTGCAACTCCTCCATAACCGTCATTACGGTCGTGTCTAAATATATTAAAATTATTAATAAAAAAATGTGAAGATTCCTTTAACCGGGTTTCCGAAAGCAACACTACATTAATCTTATTATCGAAAATGTATTTTTCAAAGTGACCTTTGTTACACAAAATTGATCTAGCATTCCATTGCAGTATATTTAAGTTACTCATAGTCTGATAGAATTTGCGTTATACTGTCTTTTATTAATTACTATTAAACTGGGAATAAGCCACAATTAAAGATATATTGATTCGCAAGTTTTTATCTGTTTACTTGAAGTGCTATTATCATCACAACTATTATTATAATTTGGTATATTTTTAAATTTATTGAAAACAGGTTCTGTTAAATTTTTTGGATTTGAAATTATTTCTTTGTGTTTTTCAAATGTTTCATCGATCTCTGGGGTTTTAGCTAACCTCTTTCTTTTTAAAGTAACAGTATAGCGGTTTGAATTTGTGCCAGTTTTTGCTACACCTGAAAAACTTCTTTTGTGCTTAGAAGAAGCCTCAGCGTATGATAAATTTTTATAGACCATAGTTTTTTTATACTCTTTTGTCTACTAAATTCTGAACAATTTTTTTTATCAGTGGCGCAATGCTTTTTTTACAATAAATGCATATTGGTTCATTTTTTTGGCAACTTTCTACTTTATGATCTTCTCCACAATTTTGACAGCGTTTCTTTTGATCTACACTGTGTACTATATATGGCAGTATCTTAGACATTTAAGACACTGCATTACTCTTGGCACATATTTTTCGACTTCATACACCATTTTTTTCTATTATTACCCTAGTGGGTAAAAGTTGTAACTAAATGTAACTATAATTGTAGTTGTTGGAACAATTTCATTTTTGTCATTTTTACGTGAAATTCATTTTACGTGACTTACTTCAAAATTATATCCTAATTTCGGTTTAATAATTTCTTTTAATTCCTGTTACGATAATTCTAAATCTATTTGCCTTATGACTCCCTTTACGTGAGTAAAAAACATTGGAATGTATGTATCATATGTTTTATCCTTTAATGACTGTGCTATTAATAATTTATTTGCGCTTGCATAAGAAGTTAATTCAAAGTTTATTTTATTAGCTCCTATTCCTGATATGTTAGCTGTATCATGTTTAATTTCTGGTATCGCATTAATTATTAGTCTAGCCGTAGCTATTTGATGTAACTTGCCTACTTTACCTGTTTTATTTTGAATATAAACAAAAAATGGCCCATTATCTTTTAAAAAATATTGATTTATTGTGTTAATGACCGTGTTTACGTATAATTTTTTTTCGGAAACAATTTCAGAAACATGATCAGTACTTATCTGTGTAATAGAGTTGATATTTTTAAATCCTCTAAATTCTTCCACTGGAGAAGGTGGAAGATCCGGATGGGACACATCCTTCCAACTCATCTTTTTCGGGGGGTTTTCTACCCCCGCTAGTAACACTCATGATCTTTAAACCACTTAAACTTTACTTCTTTTTTTAAAATCGATATGTGTAATTTTTAATATGAATAAAACTAGTTTTTTAATTACAAGGTGATAACACCGATTTCGTTAATTAGATTTTAAGTATCGCACGTCTATTCGCTTTGACGAACCGAATCCAACTCCTTATTTTAACATAGTTAACATAAATAAAAATAAATATGAATACTTTCTTAAGTAGGTCTTAAAAAGCTTTAAATACCTTTGTTTGGTGTTCTTGAACTATATGTAATGTGGTATCATTTGGTGTAGGAATTCGGTCAGACATTTTCATGTTCTTTATCCACTGAGTTTTTGTTTTTTTACCAACTGGAAATCTAAAAAGTACAGTAAAGCTAAATAAACATAATGCATATAATATTAATTAATTATTATTAGTAGTAATACATAATTAAAACAGACCATAGTAACCGTCTTTTATGGTCATCATCATCATTGGCATTACAGCCCTTTATGAGTAAAACTCTGCCCCCATTTCGTCTTATCTCTAGCAACTCTTCCCCATACTTTAATTTCGATGTATTTAAAGTCTTCTTCCAAGTTGTCCAGGTACTTAAGTTTCCACTGATTCTTTTCAGCCAAATATTTTCCCAACATTTGAATTTTCTTCTCTTCTGATTACATGTCCAATCAATTTAAGGCGTGCTACCTTAACAAATTTCACAACTTCGTTTCTTCAGTTTCCTCGAAGCTTCTATATAACTCAAAGTTGTAGTATCTACAAAACCTGCTCTTTTAGTCCTCTGTATATCCTTCTTAAAATCTATCGCTCGAAACACTTAACGAAGCAGCTCTTGGTCATTCTGTGTGAGTGACCACAACTGGTCTTATTAGTGTTCTATACACGGTCAGTTTATTTTTTCTTAGAAAGTTTTGAGGTCTTTTGTTTTCCCAGGCCGCGCCGTAGTAAAATTTACTGAGAAGGATTATTCTTAGTCAGTAACGAACCTAGATATATGAAGGTGGCTACACCTAACTCTATATGGTCAATTATTGGTCTATGTGTCTGATTACCAGACTTAGAGACGAACATATATTTCGCTTTTTGAGCACTTATTTTTAGTCTCATTTTTAGCGCAGATGCCTTAATGACCTAAAATCTTCTGTTAGGAACTCTGTAGATCTAACGATTATGTCAATGTCGTCTACATATTAAACGATTTGTACATGTTTATTAAATATTACACCACTCGTATTAGTCTGGGACTTACGAATAACCATTCCCAGTGCAAGGTTAAAAAAGAGGCAAGATAATCTGTCACCTTGTCTTAATCCGTCATTGCACCGGAAGGACCTTAAGTGTGAGTGTGCGTGTTAGCTGCATTAGTTTAACAAGCCTGAATGGTATTTCGAATTCCACCATAGCCTGTAACAGCTTCTGTCTAACTATTGAATCATAGGCTTCCTTGAAGTCCATGAATATATAGTGTGAGTCAACGTTAAATTCTAAGCTTTTCTCAAGAATCTGGCACTGTGACAATTTGATCAGTTGTTGATTCTTTTGCTCGAAAGCCGTGTATGCTATGTTGAGAGAGTAATACCTCTATAGTTGTCTCATACCATCATATCCTTTTGCTTGGGAAGTGGGCATAGTATATCTAATTTTTAGTGCACCAGTGTTTCCATCCTATGCTAGATTGTATTTATTAACTTAATGTATGTGTTTTAACAGTGTGTCACCACTGTATTTAAAGAGTTTGGTAGGAAGATTGTCCGTCCGAGGAGTTATTTTTAAATTTTGAAATGGCGTCTCTTATTTCTTCCACAGTGGGTAACGGCTTTTGAGCATTTTCAATTGATTCCAGTACCGAAATCTTTATCAGATCTTCTTCATTGCTATTACTTAACAATTTTCAAAAATATTTTAACAAAGTAAAATATAAGTGCCAAAATTTCATACTACTAGACATCCTATAGGTTAAATTGTGTTATGGGCGCATATGGGCGAGTATATTTGTTTTGGAAATTATGAAGTGGCCGGTACTACATTTTAATTATTTATTTAATTTTGGAGTCACTTAAATATTATTTAAAAGTACTAGTCTATACTGTGGTACTGGTACTATGTTTAATAGAGGTTAAATTAACAAAATGTGTGTTAAGGTTATGTACTACTTACTTACATAATAGGATTGTTTAATTCTGTATTAATTCTTTCCCTTGGAGTCTTACGTTTTCTACTAGTAACTTCATGAGACCTTTGGGGCAATTTAGCTGATGGAATAGCATTTTTCTTCAATCTCCTCAATTTAGTTTCAGGTGTTACTATAAAGTAAATTACATAAGTATAAATATAAAATATAAATAATATTTTAATCAACACTTACTTGGAAAGTAATCGTTATCAGTAAAATGTAAACTGCACACATTCATGTGCTTAGTTATAGGTTTGCCAATTCGCAAATTGCATTGCCAAACTTTTCTCATATTTTCGTCCAGAGGAAACTTATGCAGGGAAATTGTTCTTTGTGAATTGTAATAGGATGAACATTGAGGAACACTGCAACAGTTTTTTGAAATCGAAGTCATTGTTAATTACAATTACAATATAAACCAGTCGCAATCGCAAATATGTATACAAATTAATGACAATTTCAATGTTTTCCCGAAGTGGATGCTTTTGAAATCTACCACCAGGCGTCGCTTTGGCATTATTCCATCGAGCAATAAGACAAAAGAGGGAATCTAATCCTTATGAAAAGGAGACCAAAAAAGTGGCCTCTGATGGCGGACATATCCGGAAATGCGAATGCGCGAAATTTAAAATTTTCCGACACTTATCAACAGTAGCTATATAATATTTTTCAGAATGTGTCTTAGACGAGAAAGTTTTAATTAATTATTAATGATAAGAGTCTAAAATGCGACACAATTGTTAAAAAACTTCAATATAAATAAGATTTAATGTGACATTTAGGACAAACAATAACATAACCAAACTAAATTTGATGTCAAACAAGGAAAGAGACTGTCTTTCCTTGTTTAAAGTGGCCTCTAAAGATCGCACTTCCTGTCTAACAATATGTTTGCCCCCACTACCTTTACATTCCCTCTATTGTCTTTTTGCTCGATGCATTATTCTAAATCAATGACGTATAATATATAGACTACGCAGTCCCCTATTCTCGCTATAGAATCGAGTGTCCGAAAGATCTCGGCTCAAGGTTGAAGGTATGTTTATTAGAACAGCGGCGTGCTCATTTATATGTTAATGACAATAATTATTTTTTTAATTAAAATTAAATATTTATGATTTCTTTTTGTTCCCGTCTATAAGAGAAATAATTATTTTGATAAAATAGTATGGCATTTTACTAAAATAGTAAGTAAATAACTATCAACAATTTAAAATAAAATTTGCTTGTCACACAAAATGGAGTACGTCCACAGTATAGACAACAATTATACTGTGGTACGTCATGATGTTTTCAAACACAAGATCAACTTCATGATGCTTCTTAAGAAATCATGAACTTCGTGCATCTTCGTATCAAAACAATAAACAATAACAAAGGTATTCATGTTTTGGACACTTTTTAAAGCGTTCACCGAGTCTATATATTATACGTCATTGTTCTAAATACATAAGATATTTTAAATATACCATGTTTCAAAGTAAACCACTTGCACGTCACGATTTCTACAAAGTGACGTCACTTGTATTTAAAATTTCCAGAACATCAACCTTAGTGAGAGCGCCCACCAAAGTGGCGTGGCACGTAGAGCAAGTAGCACCGTCTAGCATGTTTCTTAAAATGTAACCAATGAAAACGAATGATTAGAATGAATGACGTCACTGTCATTTTGGTGTACGCTGAATCATTCGTTTTCATTGGTTACATTTTAAGAAACATGCTAGACTCGTGCTACTTGCCACTTGCTACGTGCCACGCCACTTTGGTGGGCGCTCTCACTTTAAGGGCGAGCGCCCACCAAAGTGGCGTGGCAGTGGCAAGTAGCAAGTAGCACGCGTCTAGCATAATGTAACCAATCCTAACGAATGATTAGAATGAATGACGTTACTGTCATTTTGGTGTAAACTGAATCATTCGTTTTCATTGGTTATATTATGCTAGACGCGTGCTACATCGAACAAAAAGATAAAAGAGGGAATGTAAAGGTAGTGGGGGACAAAAATATTGTTAGACAGGAAGTGCTATCTTGAGAGGCCACTTTAAACAAGGAAAGATAGTCTCTTTCCTTGTTTAAGAAGTCATTTAGTTTGGTTATGTTATTGTTTGTCCCAACTGTCACATGAAAATTTTATTTATATTGAAGTTTTTTACCAATTGTGTCACTTTTTAAACTATATCGTTAATATTTAATTAAAACTTTCTTGTCTGAAAAATATTTTACAGCTATTGTTAACAAGTGTTGGAAAATTTAAATTTAGCGCCTTTCCGGATAATGTCTGCCATCGTCCGCATTTTGTTCAGTTCTTCGTCTCTACATTGTTATTCCATGTAATGTGTTCGAGTCCATAATAAAAAATCGTCTAAAATTGTACCTTTTTGCACCACTGATATAAAAAATTTTAAATTATAAAATAAATTATAAAAGATAAAACAATACAAATATGGCGCCGTATTTGTCTAAACTCAACTTTGAATTTTCCACAGCACACTCCCTCCGCGCAGAAAGAGACTAGCAGCGCCACCATACGAATGGGCGCCAAATCCGAACATGATTTGGCCTTGGCTATCTCTGTTACCAATCTAGGTAAATTTATCTATGGCATATAGCATGATATTTTTAAATGTAACCAATGAAAAAAAATTATTAGAATGAATGACGTCACATCATTTTGGTGAGCGCTGAATCATTCGTTTTCATTGGTTACATTATGCTAGACGCGTGCTACTTGCTACTTGCCACTGCCACGCCACTTTGGTGGGCGCTCTCACTTAGGGCAAGCGCCCACCAAAGTGGCGTGGCACGTGGCAAGTAGCAAGAAGCACGCGTCTAGCATGTTACATAAAATGTAACCAATGCAAACGAATGATTAGAATCGAATGACGTCACTGTCATTTTGGTGTCGTGAATCATTCGTTTTCATTGGTTACATTATAAGTAACATGCTAGACGCGTGCTTCTTGCTACTTGCCACGTGCCACGTCACTTTGGTGGGCGCTCTCACAGAGTTCAAATTTTCCTAACACAGCTAATAATACGAAACTCATATGGAACGGATCTATCTTTCATAGGCGTCAACATGGTGGAATAATCAGAAAAATGTAATAATCATTATATGGGAAATTATAGAATTATATTGAGTAAATAACCAAAAACATTTGTTATTATTAATAATATAAATAAACTATTTAAGTCTAATATTCCACAAATTATTAATTTTAATTAAATATATTAGACAATTGTATGCAGATGATCTGATACGGATATTATACTTCAAATTTTTTTGACAGTTCAGCGGGTGGCAAAATTGTATTAAGTGTTGCCGCTTTTTTAGAGTAGGAACTTTGTTTATGTTTTGATTTCTTACACAATTTGATCGTAATATAATATATATTAATAAATTGTATTTATAAATACATATTAAATTTATATTAATAGCTTTCAAAACTAATTATTGTTGTGTATTGTGATATGCCAAAACAAATAAAGCTTTCATATAAGATAGATTATTTTGAACAAGAAATAATGGCGGGACGTTTTTACTATTAAAGCCCTAAAAGAGATAAGTTTAATAATTAGAATATGTAATTTTGTATTAAAATGTTTTCCCATGTATTTTAATGTGTTGCAGTAGTCTTAAAACTAAGTGTATTTACTATTAATATAATAGTTTGACAAATAGTTTGACATTTTAGAAATTTCTCACTAACTAACTATTCTGATGTTTTGGGAACGCTGTGGGGTTCTGACGAACGTGAATCTTGAATGACGTGCAAGCTTTTTTATATGAAAAATGCTATATAAGGAGTGCAGCTTTCGTGTGTAATTTTTGAATTTTGCCGTTTATATAAAAAAATCGTTAAAAGTAGAAAATTTTGAAGAACCGTACCACAGAATAAATAACAATATTTTTTATTATTCTGTGACCATACCTTGTTTAAAATTAGCCTTAGTACTTAATACTATTAAATCAATGACGTATAATATATAGACTACGCAGTCCCCTATTCTCGCTATAGAATCGAGTGTCCGAAAGATCTCGGCTCAAGGTTGAAGGTATGTTTATTAGAACAGCGGCGTGCTCATTTATATGTTAATGACAATAATTATTTTTTTAATTAAAATTAAATATTTATGATTTCTTTTTGTTCCCGTCTATAAGAGAAATAATTATTTTGATAAAATAGTATGGCATTTTACTAAAATAGTAAGTAAATAACTATCAACAATTTAAAATAAAATTTGCTTGTCACACAAAATGGAGTACGTCCATGATGTTTTCAAACACAAGATCAACTTCGTGATGCTTCGTAAGAAATCATGAACTTCGTGCATCTTCGTATCAAAACAATAAACAATAACAAAGGTATTCATGTTTTGGACACTTTTTAAAGCGTTCACCGAGTCTATATATTATACGTCATTGTTCTAAATACATAAGATATTTTAAATATACCATGTTTCAAAGTAAACCACTTGCACGTCACGATTTCTACAAAGTGACGTCACTTGTATTTAAAATTTCCAGAACATCAACCTTAGTGAGAGCGCCCACCAAAGTGGCGTGGCACGTAGCAAGTGGCAAGTAGCACGCGTCTAGCATGTTTCTTAAAATGTAACCAATGAAAACGAATGATTAGAATGAATGACGTCACTGTCATTTTGGTGTACGCTAAATCATTCGTTTTCATTGGTTACATTTTAAGAAACATGCTAGACGCGTGCTACTTGCCACTTGCTACGTGCCACGCCACTTTGGTGGGCGCTCTCACTTAAGGGCGAGCGCCCACCAAAGTGGCGTGGCAGTGGCAAGTAGCAAGTAGCACGCGTCAAGCATAATGTAACCAATGAAAACGAATGATTCCGTTTACACCAAAATGACAGTAACGTCATTCATTCTAATCATTCGTTAGGATTGGTTACATTATGCTAGACGCGTGCTACTTGCTACTTGCCACTGCCACGCCACTTTGGTGGGCGCTCCCCCTAAGTAACATGCTAGACGCGTGCTACTTGCTACGTGCTACTTGCCACGCCACTTTGGTGGGCGCTCTCCCTAAGTGAGAGCGCCCACCAAACTGGCGTGGCAGTGACAAGTAGCTGGTAGCACGCATCTAGCATGTTATTTTTAAATGTAACCAATGAAAAAAAATTATTAGAATGAATGACGTCACTATCATTTTGGTGAGCGCTGAATCATTCGTTTTCATTGTTTACATTATGCTAGACGCGTGCTACTTGCTACTTGCCACTGCCACGCCACTTTGGTGGGCGCTCTCCCTTAGTGAGAGCGCCCACCAAAGTGGCGTGGCAGTGGCAAGTAGCAAGTAGCACGCGTCTAGCATAATGTAACCAATGAAAACGAATGATTCAGTTTACACCAAAATGACAGTAAC